GATCGAGTGGGATTTATTCCAGGGATACAAGGATGGTACAATATTTGAATACCTATCAACATCATCCACTACATCAACAAAAAGAAAGACAAAAATCACATATCATCTCCACGAACGCTGAAAAAGCATTTGACCAAATTCAACACTCATTTATGATAAATACTCAACAAATTGGGTACAGACGGCAAGTACCTCAACATAATAAAAGCCATATGCAACAAATCCACAGCCGATATCATACTTAACAGTGAAAAGCTGAAAGCTTTTCCTCTAAGATCAGGAACAAGACAAGGATGCCCACTCTCCCCACTTTTACTCAACACAGTACCTAGCCATGGCAATCAGACAACACAAAGAAATGAAAGGCATCCAGATGGGTAAGGAAAAAGTCAAACTGTCACTGTTTGCAGATGACATGATACTGTACATAGAAAACCCTAAAGAATCCACCCCAAAATTACTAGAATAACTGAATTCAGCAAAGTTGCAGGATACAAAATTAATACACAGAAATCTGTTGCATTCCTACATACTACTGATGAACAAGCAGAAAGAGAAATCTAGAAAACAATTCCATTCACAATTGCATCAAAAAGAATAAAATACCTAGGAATAAACCTAACCAAGGAAGTGAAAGACCTATATCCTGAAAACTACAAGATACTTATGAGAGAAATTAAAGAAGATACTAAGAAATGGAAATACATCCCATGCTTATGGATAGTAAGAATTAATATTGTCAAAATGGCCATCCTACCTAAAGCAATCTACAGATTCAATGCAATCACTATCAAAATACAAATGACATTCTTCAACAAACTAAAGCAGAGTTCTAAAATTCATATGGAACCACAAAAGACCCTGAATAGCCACAGTAAGTCCTGAGAAGGAAGAATAAAGCTGGGGCGATTATGCTCCCCAACTTCAAGCTCTACTACAAAGCCACAGTTATCAAGACAATTTGGTACTGGCACAAAAACAGACCCATAGATTAATGGAACAGAATAGAGAGTCCAGATATAAACCCAACCATATATGGTCAATTAATATATGATAAAGGAGCCAAGGATTTACAATGGGGAAATAACAGCCTCTTCAAGAACAGATGTTGGCAAAACCAGACAGCTACATGTAAGAGAATGAAACTGGATTATTGTCTAACTCCATACACAAAAGTTAACTCGAAATGTTTAAAAGACCTGAATGTAAGTCACAAAACTATAAAACTCATAGAAGAAAACATAGGTAAAAATCTCTTGACCACTAACATGAGCAACTTTTTCCTGAACACATCTCCTCAGGCAAAGGAAACAAAAGCAAAAATGAACAAATGGGACTACATCAAACTCAAAAGCTTCTGTACAGGAAAGGACACCATCAGTAGAACAAAAAGACATCCTACATTACGGGAGAATATATTCATAAATGACATATCCTATAAGGGGTTAACATCCAAAATATATAAAAAGCTAACACACCTCACACCCAAAAAGCAAATAACCCCATCAAAATATGGGTAGAGGATCTGAAGAGACACTTCCCCAAAGAAGAAATTCAGATGGCCAACAGGCACATAAAAAGATGCTCCACATCGTTAATCATCAGGGAAATGCAAATTAAAACCACAATGAGATATCACCTCACACCAGTTAAGATGGCCAACATCCAAGAGACAAGGAACAAAAATGCTGGCAGGGATGCAGAGAAAGGGGAACCCTCCTACACTGTTAAGGGGACTGTAAATTAATTCAACCATTGTGGAAAGCAATATGAAGGTTCCCCAAGAAACTACAAATAGAAATACCATTTGACCCAGGAATTCCACTCCTACGAATTTATCCAAAGGAAACAAGATCACAGATTCAAAAAGACACATGCACCTGTATATTTATCACAGCACTATTTACAATAGCCAAGATATGGAAGCAACCTAAGTGTCCATCAGTAGATTAATGGATAAAGATGTGGTACAAATACACAATGGAATATTATTCAGCCATAAGAAGAAAACAAATCCTACCATTTGCAACAACATGGATGGAGCTAAAGGGTATTATGTTCAGTGAAATAAGCCAGGGGGATAAAGACAAATACCAAATGATTTCACTCATCTGTGGAGTATAAGAACAAAGCAAAAACTGAAGGAACAAAACAGCAGCAGACTCACAGAACCCAAGTATGGACTAGCGGTTACCAAAAGGAAAGGGGTTCTGGAGGGCTGGTGGGAAGGGAGGGATAAGGCGATTAAGGGGTATTATGATTAGCACACATAATAGAGGGCTGCACACATAATACAGTATAGCCCAGGAAGACAAGTAGTGACTCTATAGCATCTTACTATGATGATGGACAGTGACTGTTATGGGGTTTGTGGTGTGGATTTGATAATAGAGGGTAATGTAGTAACCACAATGTTGCTCATGTGAAACCTGAGCACAAGATTGTGTATCAACCTTAATAAAAAACATAAAATGAGAGAAGGCTCTCATCTGACTTTTCCCCCATACTAAAGAATCCAACACCATACACTGAATAAATCTTACCTGTTCCTAGATTTTGTGACCTCCCATTATCATGTACTAAAATTCTTACAAATAATCAGACCAATCTCTTACACTTTTGTTGCACTGGTTGCAACAGGTATTCAATGAGCCTTCACTAACTGCTTCAATATTTCTAGGGTTCATATGCTCTCAACATTTTTTTTTTCAAAATTTCTTTGGGGAATATTTTTTCAACTTAATTTTTCCAGATGACCACTAGAATTATTCTGTGAAATAGTTCTAATCCTACTGTGATCTTTATTATAATTGCCTTAAGCCTAAGAACTGACCGCAATGCTCAGTCTTAATCCAGGAAAATCAGTATTTCTCCATTTACTCAAATCTTTTATTTCTTAAGTTTTGAAGGGTTTTTGCCTTTTTTAAAATGGAAATTATCTATTTCCCACAAAAGCTAGTGCTAGAATTTTTATACTGCATATTATTGCTACAAAAGAGCTATTTTTCACTGTATTTTCTGGCTATTGCTGATATATGGGAATGCAATAAACTTCTGTATATTTTATATCTAGCAATGTTATCAAATTTTTACATTACTTCTATAATTATTATAGTTGAACTATTCAATATTTCTAAATGCTACTGTGTTTATTTCTTTCCAAAACTCATGTTACTTATTTTTCCTCTTTGATGCAAATACCAGAGAACTTGTACCTCCTCAGGACCTCTCTCCAATCAGTATATACCCTAGGCTGCTCTTTACCCTCAGTCTGTAATACTTTCAAATCACTCCCATTTACAAAAGAAAAAAAATCCTCTCTCACTCTCTGTTCTTTAGTTACCATTACCCACTCCCCTTTCCCTCACCATCTTCTACCTTTAACAACCAAGCGTCATGAGCTATCTACACTGTCTTCACTTCTGAGTTAAATCACTCCCAGCTTGCTGCAACATACCTTCTGTCCCCACCTTTCCAATGGAAATGCCTCTCAGCTATCCCAATGGCCAAAAACAGACTGACTGTTTTTTGATAAACTTCCTCACATTCTCTGTTGCTCTCAACCCTGAAGACTTGTCTTCTTAAACTCCTCTCAGATTTTCTACCCCTTTTCTCTTGGGTCCCCTTTGTATCATCTCTCTGGCTTTTCCTTTCTCTGTTTACCCTGTTGACTTTAAGGGTTGCCTATGGCTTCCTTCTCAAGTTTTTACTTTTCTTATTCTACATGCTTTCCCTGGGTAATCATATTTACATGTATGGCTTGAACCACTGCTGCAATTTCCCAATCTGTAGCTCTAGCCAAAACTGCAAGGCTGAGGTTCAGATTCACAAATCCTAGTACCTATACTGGATATCTCCACTGTATGTCCCAAAGGAACTTCAAAATTCGTACATCCAAAACTGATCATCTATCCAACCCAGTCTCTACCTCCATCCCAACAAATCTACTCCTCTTCTTGTATTCTTTTTCCTCCCCCCTCTTCTTCTTGGATTCTTTACTAAGTCATCAAGAAACCTAAACAAGCAACCAGAGCCGAAGATTCACTCACTCCTCATATCTAACCAATTAAATATAGAGAAACAAAATGAGTTATTTCCACTCTCTCTAGAAACTCCAGTAAAGTAACAATAACAAGAAATTAAAAAGTACATACCCAAAAGACAAATATTGAAGAAGATAACGACAGAAAATAAATGTTAGTTGAGTTCAGAAGTTTAAAGTGAATGGACCAGTCACAACCAAGAAGAACAGAGAAAGTGAAACCTAATTATATAAGGTGGGGATGAGGAAGTCAAAAGAAGCAAGCCAAATTACCTTGCAAATTCCAAAATGGTTTAAGAATTGGAGAAAGCACCATATACTCTTCAAGGGCAAGGTATGACATAGGCAGTGATAAGATCTGTATCAAAAGCAATTGGCTCCCAGAGCCTCTCCCAACTCTCTGCTTTATAATGACACTAGTGAACTATACTACTACTAATTTAAAAAAAAATCACCACCAACAGTTACCATTCACTGAGTTTTAACAAGGTACTAGGTAATAATAGGAAATGCTTTAAGTGCATTATCTCATTTAATCTTTACTATACTACCACCATAAGTAAATGGGATCAGAAAAGTTAGATAATGTGCCCAAGACCACACAGATGCAAGTGAGAGAGCTTGGATTCTAAAACAAGGGTAAATATTTGTTCCTGTTTTCCTGGGCAGTGTCCTGGCACAATGATCAACAGTGCCCCCCAAGCTATCACAGATAGAAAGATAAATTCTATGGTCACCCTAATTCTAACTGACTCTAGAGCTTATGCTCTTAACTACTAACCTATACTGACTCTCCTAGGGAAGATTAGACTGGCATGGCACAGCTATTGGTACAAGCAGTTCAACAGGTAGTCCCCAATCTCAGGATGTCTGATTTTTTTATCTCATACACATAGCTTCTATATAGGAAACAGTACCAGGGGTTCAAGGTAATTTTAGTTCCATAGACGTTAATTACCTGTCCCAACAATGCCATGAGACGAGATGGAGGCACCACACTGACTTCCCCAGCTAAGGCCTGGGCAATTGCTGCTCTTCTCTTCTCTTTGCTACTTCCGTCTGGGTATGCCTGAAAAAGACAGGGGGTAACATCATTTCAAGAAGCAGCTACAAGATATGTGCACTTATTTTTTAAAAATAACAAAAATTAAGCAGAAACATTCTAAAAAGAAAATATGAAAAGAAACTACCCAGTAAACAGGGACTAATTAAATCAATCAGTTCTTAAAACAACTTCCCAATTCTATCCACTTGCATTTTCAAAGTATTAGCTGGAAGAGAATTGAGGTCAGCCAATCCACACTATTATTCCTGAAAAGAGTCCAAGTAAACTACATCAAAGCCAGACCTGTTTTTTCAGTTTTTTAAAAAATCTGTATAGCTAAGGATTCTGTTATATGCCTTGGTAATTTCTTCAGGTCAAATGATTCCCAGCTCTAAAGTTCTCCGCGACCTCTAATTAAAATCCTACCTTGGTAATCTAAACTCCTTTCCTTCCTCCTCATAGTTTCTCAGTTTACCCTAACTTCCCATAGTCCAGTGCCTATTAAATTATTCTTCCTCCTATTTAGACAAGTAAAAGACTACATGAGAAAGAAGGAAATTATACACATAAAAAAGTTTTGTTAAAATTAAAGAGTATCTGGGGCGGAGCCAAAATGGTGGCGTGAGTAGAGCAGCAGAAATCTCCTCCCAAAACCACATATATCTATGAAAATAAAACAAAGACAACTCTTCCTAAAATAGAGACCAGAGGACACAGGACAACATCCAGACCACACCCACGCCTGCGAGAACCCAGCGCCTCGCGAAGGGGGTAAGATACAAGCCCCAGCCCCACGGGACAAAAGTGCCCCTCCCCCAACTCCCAGCAGGAGGAGAGGAGTCAGCAGGGAGGGAGAGGGAGCCCAGACCTGCTGAACACCCAGCCCCAGCCATCTGGACCAGAGCACAGACACAGTGCATGCGTGGGGTCCTGGATACTAGGGAAACAGGGCAGCAAGACCGGTGAGCAGATGCCTGAGGCCGACGCCAGAGAACAAAGAAACAGGAGCGGCCATTTTTTTTTCCTCTTTTTTTTTTTGGCAAGTGCTTTTTGGAAGTCTTAAAGGGACAGGGACCCAAATACTAGGGAAACAGGGCAGCAAGAACGGTGAGCGGGTGCCTGAGGCCGGTGCCTGAGGACAAAGAAAATCGTGCGTTTTTCTTTTTTTTTAAATTATTTATTTAATTTTCTTTTTTGTTGTTGTTGTTGTTGTTTTGGTTTGGCAAGTAATTTTTGGAAATCTTAAAGG